GCAAGGAGAGAAGCAACCAGGTCCAATTTTCGGAAACAGCGGCAAGCAATTTGCTTGTCCGCATGTGGCGCCTTAGCTGCGCCCGTGGCCTGGAGGTGAATACCAGGCACGCGGATTGCGCATTTGGTCGGGAGGTGGGGTCGTGTGGCCCGTGAACCCCATGGGACCCGCCCTGGGCTTGTCGTATTCGTACAGTCCAGTTGCGCATGCCGCTCGATTCCGCAGGGTTGGTCGTGGTTTTCCTGGCCGAGGCACCTGAAATAACGGTGAAGGCTTCAGGGGACCCTGCCACCCTACGCACCGAGCCGTCTCGTGCGGGCAGCGAGTCACGGCCGACGTGGTCTTCTCACCGTTCCTTGGTCTGCTTGTTGGGAAGACATCGTCTTTTACAGTCTGCAGTCTACAACTCCTCCTCCTCCCTCCTCCTCCTCATACTCCTCCTCCTCCTTCACCTCCTGCTGCTACTGCTCCTGCTGCTACTGCCTGCTGCTGCTGCTGATGCTGCCCCTCCTTCTCCACCTCCTCTATGGGGAGCTGCAGAAGTTCACGCCTGTAGCTGGCTTCTCGGCGTGAGCGTTGCGTGGGGGGTGGGGGGAGCGGGTAACATGCGTCACGTCCAGAAGGAATAACAGAACGATCACCTGGGCACCTCCTCCTGCTGCCGACGCTCCCTCCGTTGGCCTTCCCCGGCCCGCGGCGAGCACGCGGGGGGGGGGGGGGGGGGGCGCACCCTGGCCGGCCGGCGGCCGAGGAGGCCGAGGAGCTCGCGCAGCGCGTCCGAGCTGTCCTGGCCGCTTCCCGCCTCCCGCCTCGCTGGGTGCTGCCAGGAGATTGGTTTTTCGAACTTCAAAGCATTGTCTTTGAATTCAGAAAAACCAGATCTTGAATTCAAAAAACCATGGTTCGCATTACGAAACCAAATTCTGGAATTCAGAAAACCAGCCCCCTGGCCCCCAGGTGAGCGTTTACCTCTTCGGCGTATCGACATTGGGCAGGAGGGGGGGGGAGGGGTGCGGGGGGGTCTGGCTCCGGACCTCTGCTTGATGCGACTGTTTGCAGCAGTGCGTCCCATGGGGGAGACTCCACCTGCTCGAAAAACGGGCGCCAAAACAGCCAAGATCCACTCCATGGGGGGGAGGGCAAGGGGGGTGCGAGTGCCCGCGCCGATCGCCAAAACAACGAATGAGAAAACGACCAGGTGACCCTGGGATTTCCCCGGGAAGCATCCGCGGCCTCCAGAGCACGCCTCACGAGTCCAGAGGGCCCCAGGAGCTCCCAGGTGGAGCGAGAGAAGCTGGGGGCACAGTTGGGCCAGGGGCGCGTGTAGCGACCCGCGACCTCGGCCTCCTCCTCTGGGATCCGGGCGCTGCGACTTGCGTCACGCTGGGTGCCATCGCCCAGCGCTGGGCCCGGGGGCCATCGCACATCGATGCGGCCCGGCAAATGCCGCAGAGCGATGGGGTCCTGGGCTCCGTTCGCAACGTTTCGCGGTGTGGAAGTTTGTTCGTCGATCTCGGGATCCCGCTCGCGACACTGCAAACCCAGACCTCCGACGACATGTTCTTTCGTGCAGCCGGTAATTGTTCATAGATCTCGGCCCTCGGGAGCTGTGTTGCGGCCAGGGGGGCCATCAAAAATGGACCTGGCCATCGCTCGGACGTCCATCCCCTGTGTTTTTGTTCGGCTTCATGCGTGGTTTTTTCGCCAAGTGATCAAGGGTGCTCCTCGATGGTCCTCGCCGAAGGAAAAATGCACACGGCCGAGCGATGCCAAGTGCTGGTCCTGGTCCGAGCTCAGGACGAACACTGCCCCCGTTGAAGCGGTCGGGATCTCTCGTCGGCGGCGTGCCCAGGGGCGGAGGCAGAAGGGGCGGGCCTTCAGAGAAGGCCTCCGGCCTTCTGAGAGGCTTGCTGATAAGCCTTCTCCGAACCGCTCCTCTGCAGCTCCAGCCCTCCATCTCACCCTTGCCACTCTCCTAATCCTGCTCCCCTCCCCGTCCCCCTCTCCGTCCTCAGTCCCTCCCCCTCCTCTCCTGCCCCAATCCTCCTCTCCTCCCCCAATCCTCCTTGCACAAGTCCCCCTTCGCAGTCTCCTCGTCCCCAACCACACACACACACACACTCCTCCGAGGCCACCTCCTCCTCCTCCTCCTCCTCCTCCTCCTCTTCCTTGTCCTCCCCCCTCATTCTCTTCCTCCTCACGCAGTCCTCCTCACACACTCCTCCGAGGCCACCTCCTCCTCCTCCTCCTCCTCTTCCTTGTCCTCCCCCCTCATTCTCTTCCTCCTCACGCAGTCCTCCTACGTACGCCCTCTACCCCTCTTCTGACAATCTCATCACGGCGGCCGCCGTCTCGCCCTCCTCCTTTCCATCCTCCCCTCCCTCTCCCACATCCGCCGCATCCTCGTCCTCTCCCCTCTCTTCCTCCTCCTCCTCCTCCTCCTCTCTCTTTCCATCCTCCCCTCCCGCCCCTCCTTCTCCCACATCCGCCGCATCCTCGTCCTCCTCCTCGTCCTCCTCCTCCTCCTCCTCCTCCTCCTCCTCCTCGTCCTCCTCCTCCTCCTCCTCCCCAAACCATCCCCTCTTCTGCTCGGCCCACCCGCAGTCATCTGGGCTCAAGCTGCTCTGGCTTGCTCGAGTCTGCTGCTGGAGGCCCTCGCAGCATTCGCACCTGCCACTCTGCCGCGGGCTCGGGGCAACGCGCACAGGCCGTAACGTTCGTGCCGAACCCGACATTGGGCGAGGGAGCTGGCCCCACGAGAACGTGGTGATGGGCCTGTTTTCCACCACCACCACCATCAGTTGGAGGGAGAAAGGAGGTGGAGGATAAGGAGGAAGAGGTCGAAGAGGAGGAGGAGGAGGAAGAGGAGGAGGACCCCCTCCCCCTGCCACTGGTGGTGGTGGGGTGGAAAGCAAGCCCACCACGTGCACCGCTGCGCCGGCAGATCAAGCCGGCGCCTTCGGCAGCCTGAGCCTGGGTATGACGGATGGCTCAGTGCTGACAGGTGCGGCGTTGACGGGGGAAAGCGCCTGGGACGGCCCGGCCCTGATCTGACTAGGGGGTCACACGCGAACCCTACCCCTACCCCCCACGATTTCTGAGGGGGAGGGTGGGGTTCACTTCGTGGGGGGCAGGGGTAGGGTTCGCATGTGGCCCCCTACTGACGGCGTGCGCGAGCAGCCAGGCATCAGCCAGGGGCGCCTGCGCCGTGTCAGCTCTTCTTGGGAAAACTCCCCCCCCCGAAGGCAGCGCGGCTGGTTGCCGTAGGCTGGCCAGGTGGCCGAGTATCGGGGGCGCGCAAACATGGATTAGCGATCCACGGATTTGGCGCGCGGTCGCCGAATCCATGGATCGGCGGAAATCCGCGATTTCCCATAGAAACGGGACCCGTCGCTAATGCACGCCCCCTTGATCCACGCTTGCGATCGCCTGAGAGTAGGAGCATATACCAATGAGGAAAAAGGATGAGGATGCGGAGGGCCCCAGGAAGACTGCCCGTGGCTCTTCTGTTGGGGCTTTGCATGCTGCTCAGAAGCACCGGGTGCATGTGCACCCCCCAGCTCCTCCAGCCCCCCCGCACTCTCCCTCCCCCTGCTCCCACATTTCCTCCTCGGGAGCCTCATCGCTCTTCTGATGCTGCTACTTCTCCTCCAGCTCGTCCTCGTCCTCCTTCCCGTCCTGGTACCTCTTCCTCCGTTGCCCTTTCCTTCTCCGCCCCTTCTCCTCCTCCTCCTCCGTCTCCTCCTCCTCCTTCTCCTCCCCACCGCCCGCTTCCCTGTTCCTTACAATGCCGCCCAACTTCTTGTCGTCGCCCTCCTCGCACTCGTGCTTCTAGCCCTCGTCGCCGACCGTGCTTTTGTCATCGTCTTCGTCCTCGCCCTCGCTGTCGCGTCCTTGCTGTCGGCCGCAAGCACGACGCCCTGGACCTCGAGCACAGCGCAGTAGCCTTGCCCGGGCCCCGATCTGACCCCCCCCCGCCCGCCATTCCTGTTCCTCCTGCTGCTTCTCCTCCTCCAGGCGAGCCCAGACTCGAATTGATAGGTCGGATCGGCGATCGAAACGAATCGGATCGGCAGCCGAGTCGAGGAAAGTCGAATCCGCGGAAATCGGCAGCCTCATAGGCCTCCATGAAGAAATCGGAGCCCGAATCGGCATCCGAAGTCGAATCGAATCGGAATCGGAAGCCAAAGGATGATGAGGAGGAGGAGGGCGGATGAGGAGGAAGAGGAGGATGAGAAGGAAGGTGGCCATCTTCATCTCAATTGGGGGGTTTCCCCCACCCATGCCACCTCTGAAGGAGTCCCCAGCGCCCGCCCAGGATTCCCGTGCGTGCGATGGGGCTCAGGCGGCCCAGTGCGGGGTTGCCATCGGCCTACAACCCTCTCAGCGTGATGGGGACGCGCGCCCTGGCCAACTTCATCCTGTGCTGCATCGGCACGCAGAGGTGCGCGGTGTCGGCCGTGCTGCTCGGCCCCATCGCCAAGGCCCATCAGTTCTGCTCGATCGATTGGGGGTGGGTCTTGGACCCGCACGTCGACAAATCAGGTGGGCTTCAGATAGGGCGGTATGAGTACAAGTTCCCATGTGGTTGGTGGAGAGGGTTTGCCCCAGTACCACGAAACCTTCGCGGTAGAGTAGGAGCAGTGCGCGTGGAGAGAGGGTCTTTACGTCTCGTGGTGAATGCAATGCACTTTCCGCCCGCGCCGAGCAGAGGCCGTGAACATCGTGAGCCATGGCAGTGGAAGGTGAGATCGATGATGTGGCTATATTCACTGGTGGGGTCCACAAGCGCACGCTGGTCACCTGTACCCTGCGGCGACTTGAACGGTCAGTTAGCCGAGACCCCACATGTGACGGGCATATACCATGTGCATGAATTCAACTACACAAGTGAGATGGTAGCACCTGGTCTTCGAGCGCACGGCATGTGCGCCATCAACACATGTCTCCCGACGGGCGTCCCCACGTACTACAACAGAGGGGTGGTGAAGACACGCGACTACATCATGGTACCTCAAGAGTGGCACAAGGCTACGATGTGGTGCAGGACATTGACACGGTCGGAGGGGCGTCTTCAGCTACACAGCCAGAGTGCGGTGGGGGATCATCTACTACGGGGAGCATGTTTCATCGACGTGATTGGTCTGCCATATGAGCTGATCAAGCAGACAAAGGTCAGCAAGGAGATGATTACAAAGATGCCCCAGCTCGGTGATCGACGGCCCGAATTTGTGGAGACGGCTGAAGCACAACTACGACGGCGCCTCCATCAGCTTCGAGCGCTCCCATGGGGCGAGATCCTAGAGTTTGCCAAGGCAACCCTCGGGGCAGGCGCAGGGAAGCACTGCCAGGGAACTATAGGCTATGTGGTGGACCACACCGAGCAGACGAGAGTTGCCAGAAAGTTACTTCGACAGCGACGTGATACACGTGAGAATTTTCGGTTAACTCATGGCCGACAGATATTATTCCGAGCATGTTGTTCCGGTAGTCAATGTACGATTTGTGGCGCAGTATCCTGTTCTGAACACATGAGTGCTGCTGTGGAGCGTGGGATGTGTGTGGACAGATCTCGATCAGCGGCGTTCGTCAAAATGCAAACGACACGATGCCGACTACGTGAATTCGCTGCTGAGGAGCCTCAAGCATTGAGGCAACACATTCGTAGTGCCCATCTGGCCGCACATCGTGACGGCCATCTTCTCGAGCTGGGAGTCGTGGCTGATCACGGGAGATGTGCTGAAGAAGGGAGAGAAGGAGCCCAAGCGCGGCAAGTCCAAGGAGTCGGACGACTTCGGCACCAAGAAGATGCTGGTCCAGCTCGAGGCGCGCATGAGGACGGAGGAGAAGTACACCATGACGCAGGTCCCCCTTCCTGCGGACCACCCACTGGTCGTGGGACGCCAGGCCCAGTACCAGTCGTACCTCGGGCAGGTGAAGAAGGACCAGCGCGAGCGCGGGCCGCCAGAGCTCAATATGTGTGCGAGGGCTCCGAACGATATCGAGAGTTGGTTGGCAGAGGCCCCATCGAGGTAAGAAGTACGTGGGCCGAGAGTGCGCAGCATGCACGAGCAGGGCAAGAGCGAGGACGCCAGCGAGTGGATCAAGGGCTTCACAATCAGCCCGATGTACGAGGTGAGAGTGACAATGAGTATTCGAAAGCACGTGCTCGGCGCCACGGCAAACACGTGGAGAAGCTGAACAAGGCCCGGCAGGAGACATGGGGGCGGTGCCCCGACGGACGACAAGTTCGAGGAGGCGCCCCTGCGGACCCCGCTGGTGACCTCGGCGGCACCCGTGGGCGCCACGTCGGGCTCCTGCACGCCCTCGGCGTGATCCTTAGCGCCTGGGGCGGCTCCAGGAAGGTGGACAAGGGCCCGAGGGGGCCCAGGGACAAGCAGCTCGTGGGCATGAAGTAGGTATGAGTGGAGGCGCCCCGCGGCCCGCGCGGGCCGTCAGCGGGCGGGGGGTTGGGCTTTCCCGACGGGTGGGATCTGCTTCGGGCCCCTCCCTCGCTTCGGGCCCCGTGGGCCCGTTGCCGTCCTCTGGCGGCGTTCCGCCCTTGGTGCGTTCGGCCTCTGGTAGGCCATCCCCGAGGCTGATCCCCCTGTGGGAAATGCTTAGCTCGTTTGGTTAGAGCTGCCCAGCGTCAGTCGGAGTTATGGATTCATGAGGCGCGAATGGGGTCGTAGTAGTAGTAGTAGTAGTAGTAGTAGGATGAGAAAGGAGGAGAAACAGGAGGTGGCGGACAAGGACGAGGACGAGGGAGGAGGAGGAGGAGGAGGAGGAGGAGGAGGAGGAGGAGGAGGTAGGAGGAGGAGAGGAGGAGGAGGAGGAGGAGGAGGAGGAGGGGGAGGAATCGAGATGAGCCCTGCCTTCCCCCTCCTGCTCCCGCTCGTACTCCGCTCCCCTCCTCCCCCTCCTGGTTAACAGCTTGGACCCACTGGGCAGAACATCCTCCTCCTGGTCCTGGTCCTCGTCCTCGTCTTCGTCCTCCTCCTCCTCCTCATCCTATTCTTCCTCTTCCTCCTCCCTCCTCCCCTCCTCCTCCTCCTCCTCCTCCTCCCCCTCCTCCTTCTTCTTCTCCTCCTCCTCCTCCTCCTCCTCCATCTCCTCCTCCTCCCCCTCCTACTCCTGCTACAAGTACTGCTGGTCCTGGTCCGAGCCTTGTGTCGGGCGTGTCCTCCTACAGGCGGATTTCGGACGAAACAAAGAACATAGTCAACACAAATACACAAATATAGTCAGAAACGCTAGTCGGAAGATCGTCCCCAGACTATTCTTGTACTGCCTTTGAATCTTCCTCCTGTAGAGGGACAGGCACGACTTAATCCGAGGCCCAAAATGCCCGATACTACGCATCCGGATGAACCACGCGCCGTTCGCAAATTGAGACCGTTGTGCACTTTAATGTGTGGTGGGCTGGAGATTACGCCGTGCAGAGATACGCAGTAGGACTGCGTATTCCGACGTTGCCGATGCGCACCCTTCACGACATCATCACGATCTTTCCCAGGCTGTTCATCAAACTGCTGATCCACACGACGCAGATCTATTCTTGCAACTGCTCAATATTTGTGTATGGATGTCCAGGCTGCAGACTGGGATGAGCACGTCCAACCAGGTTCCGGAGTCCTCCAAGGGGACACCTTTTCAGCAGAGAGGTGTATTGAAATCTACCACCCTCGTTTAGATTCCTGGATCCGCGCGGTTCGACAACCCCCACTACAAGCCAACAGTCCCCGTACGCCGACGACGTCGCTAGACAGTTATTTTCTGTGGCTCACGTCAGGATTGCCGCGGTACCGTCGATCGTAACAATAACGAGTTCGATGATGCCATCTCCGCTGTCTGCCAGCCCAGAACCGAACCAGAACACGAAGTCCGCGCATGCGGGCGACCTTCCCACGAGCGGATGCACACGGCCCTCGAGCGCCGAGGACTTCCTGGACGAACTGCTCCGACTGCCAGGTTTTCTGGGGACCGCACCAATTGCCACGGCGATCACGAACCGGCATTCAACCACAACTGTTTTCAGGCCTACAAGACATGGTGTACGTTTCGCAAGGTGTGGCTCGCACTAATCATGGCCCAGATTGCTGATGCTTCTGGCGCTGATTATTGACCGCATTGCACGCCGGCCTGGAAGCAGTTTTTCTGCAACCAAACGAGAAAGAGGCTCCATGTCTTTGTGGCGTACCTAGGGCGCAACTTATTGAAACATCGAGCTTGCACCAAACACGTTCTCGCAGACGACGCTGTTCGATTTAACCGCATTCCAAACAAGGAGGTATGGACACCTTGGGATCCCAGCCAGCAACGTTGCGATTCGGGTCAGTCGGCTGACGTAGTACGAAGAACTTGTACGACGCCCGAGCGTTCACGAAGGAGTAATCTCAACACTATTTGGCAAATTCCTTTTCGAGGTGGTACATCCTGTCGCGACATGCGCCCATTTGCATCGAGGTGCCGCCCCCTGGGCACGCCCAAGTTGGAACGGCCGACGTGACAACATTAGAGCCCTACGACGATGCCAACCCGTTAATCTCGGGAGCGGCCAAGAGGGGGGTGTCCAAGAGGGGGGGGGTGCAAATCATGACTGGCGGCATGTGCGCGGCCCAGCGGGGGGGCCAGGGACGTAATGAAGTAAGAAGAGGCGCCATGAAATCTGGAAAAATATCATGGCCCCCGCCATGATATCCACCCCCCCCCTGGTCATCACCCCTCTTTTCCGCCCCCGATAATCGAACTGATTGACGACCTGCTTCTGTTGATGCTCCAAGACCGGGAAATCGCAGACATACTTCTCCGGGTTGACGTGCCGGTGTTGTGCGCCGACGCTCGTGGCGCCCGCATGCCGCCACCTGGGTGTTCGCTACCTGCCGCTCCTCCTCCACGAATACCTCCTCCCAGAGATCATGTACATCCGTTCGCGTGCGCGTGCTTGCTGGAAGGCGGCGCAGTGCCCACAGTGCGTACGCATTGCAGGTATCAAGACACACACACAGCACTTACAGCACATGTTTCGCACAATCGGTCTGGTACCCATGCATGCATGACCCCAACATACGTTGGTGGCAATATCCAATGTGCACCCTTGGTGCCTGCGCGTGTACCCAAACGAAGAAACGAAACATACGGACATATTTATCACAACGGTACTGTACGGGTGTCTTAGGCTAATACGGCTTGTATGCAGTGCAGGCAACAGTTCGAGAACCTGAATGCATTGCTGCATCACGCCGTCACCCAAACCCCTGTTCCTCCTCTTCACCATCGTGACGTGCATGTTTAAGCACTGCAGCAGAAAAGACAGGATCGTCGTAACGCGCACCCTTTTTTTGAACGCGGTTTTATATTTTCAACAATAATGGGCATTAAAGGGGGGGGGTGGGGGGGGTATGATGTAACGCCCCCCCCTTCCCGTGTGGCTCTGGCACCACAGGAACCTGTTTTCCTTATTTTCTGGGATAGCGGCCGTCATCAGTCCCGCCCTCCCCACACCCAGATGATGTCACGTTCCGCGCCGGCGGCGTCCAGGAATGCCTCGGGATGACCAAGGCCAAGTAAGAGCAGCATGTAGGTGGCAATCTGCCCCACAACTCCATTGTACACCACAATGCTCGCGTGCACCACAGCGCGCGTGTACACCACGGCGCTTGAATACACCGCAACAGCCGTGTGCAACGCAACACCTGTAAACCACAGTGTTTGCGTGCACCACACCGCGGGTGTACACCACAGCGAAATGTGTACACCGCAGCAACCATGTGCAACACAGCGCCTGTGCACACCACAGTGTTTGCGGGTACCTGAGCGCCCGTGCACACCACAGCGCCTGTCTACAACACAGCATCCGCGGGCAACGCAACGCAGGTGTATACCACAGCGCCTGCGTGCACAGGACAAGTAGAAGGAACATGTAAGTGAGGATCTGCTGCGGACAGCTAAACACCACGCCAGGGACTTGTTGATTATAATATGGGACAGTATTCCCTCCTCCCCCCTCTTCCACCTCCATCTCCACTTCCACCTCCTCCTCCTCCTCCTCCGTCTCCTCCTCCTCCTCCCTCACCCTTCCCCCTGTCGTGCGGGTCGGCGCTACAGCGCACGTGCGCATCTCATCGCTCACCGCAGAATATCTTATTGAATCAGTCCACTTCGTTCTCGGATGGCCAATTCTGCTGGAGCCGCCTGGACGCATATGGGAAGGGCTACGATGATGCGGGAGGACTCGTGGATTCCATCGGCGCTCCTTTGTCCATGACGATTTGTTTGCCAAATCTTTTGCACAGCATTTGTTTCCGGTGGAATCCACAGGCGTTCCATTTGTCATAAAGATTCCTTCAAACATTCTGTATGCATTACTTGTGCTCTGTTGCACACGGTTGCCGTGGTGCACACAGGCGCCGTGGTGTACACAGGCGCTGTAATGCGCGCAAATATTGTGGTGTACACTGGTGCCTTGTTGCACACGGCTGACGTGGTGTACGCAGGCGCGCTGTGCGGGCACTGTGGCACACACTGGCGGTGTGTTGCACGCGGCTGCCGTGGTTAACCTAGGCTGTGTGCTGCACACAGGCGCTATGGTGCACGCAGGCATTGTGGTGTACACAAGCGCTGTGGTGCGGATCGCCACTTACATGCTGCTGCTACCCGTCCTCGGGCATTCCTTGGTATTCCCAGACGCCGCCGGCGCGAAACGTGACGTCCTCCCCCCCACCAGATGGCGGCCGTCATCGGCCCGGAGAAGGAACAAAAAACTCCAGCCGCGTCCGCCCGCAAGACGACGATTAGCGACGGGCGACGAGCGACGAGCAACGAACGACGAGGACGACGACGACGACAACGACGACGACGGCGACGACCGCGGACCAGACCCCTATGCGGATTCCTACGCGCACGCCTAAGTATGCGGATCCCGATGTGCACGGCGGCAGCCCAGGGCGCACTGGGGGGGAGGGGGACGTTACGGTGTAGGGGGGGGTGGCGGGGGGCTATAACGCCCGCTATGCCCAAAATAATGCAGAAACGCACTCTTTCTCCCGCTCGGATTCCCGGGCCGAGGCGCGGGCATGGGGGGTTTCCTCAAGCAGAAGCGCCCCAACAAAGACTGGCATGGCAGCGCTACCAAGACGCGCGGCGCATCCGCAGGCGACTCGCACGACGACCTCGTGCTACGCTTGCTGGCTACGATTTCGCAGCTCACCCTGAAGCGCGCCCCCTCGAACTCCGCGAGTTGCAGGCCGCCGCTTTCCGTGCCAGCCTTCTCGCGGTGACTGCTCGAGCAGTGCAGGCCATAAAGCCTGCCGCAATACACTTCGCCGAAGATTCCCGCGCCGCCGCTGCGGGGACAGGACCAGCACCGGCTGGCGAGCCCCGCGCTCGCGTGTGGACGGCTGGGGCGATGACTGGCGTGAGCAGCAGACCCCCGGGGAGGAGCAGCAGATGAAATCTCGCGACGGACGCGACTGCTGTGAAGACCACCGGCGAAGTTCTCCCACGCATCTACGCATGCAAAATGAGAACTGCCCTCGACGAGGGACACCGTGAAAGTGCACCTCGCCACCAACTAGACTCTGGACTGCTTGGCGCTGGCGGACGCCGCGGGCATTTTTCGTGGCGCGGCGGTGGGGCTTGCCACCGTTTTCGTGGCGCGGCGGTGGGGCTTCGGCTGGAATCGCCCTCCAGAGCTGGTCGCTTGGCGGTGGCGCCGCGTGGTGCCCCCTCCCGCCCCAGTCGCGGCGGGGTGAGCCAGCGCGCGACAGTTGACCGACAACCTCGTAGTCATGGCGTCGCAGGGCATGCAACTGGCACTGAATGGGTCGGCCGGGAGGACGTAGTTTGGCGCGTCGTTAGGTATCGGAAGGTTGTGCTGAGTCGGACCCCGCTTGGGCGGCCAGGGCAGCACCGACTGCCACGGGCCTCGAGCCGCCTTGCGACGGGCTCTTGTGTGTGCGTTTTCCTTCTGATGATGCCGCTTCAGCCGGGGGCGCGCAAGCACGGATTCGCGATCCATGGATCTGGCGTGCGGTCGCCAAATCCATGGATCGGGGGAGGTGCCCTCCCCAAAATGCGGCTGGCGCCGACTCGTTCGGTTGCGGAAATCCGCAGTTCCCCATGGCAACAGGCCCCGTCGGTAATCCACGCCCCCTTGATCCATGTCTGCGATCGCCTGAGCTTCAACCGAAACAACAACGGAGACCCTCGGGAGATCCCCCAAAGTGGCGTTCGGGCGGGGGTGTCGGAGAGAACAGGCCGGGGGACGGAACCCTCGGGGATCTTCTGACCTGGGTCAATCCAGACCAGGGTCCGTCAGGCCTTGCAGACTTCTGCAAGATCCTGCAAGAACATGAACCTGGGTCAGCGCGAAGGATCCTGCAAGATCCTCCAGGATCCTGCACCCAAGCCCGGGTCAGAGCGACGCTGCAGGATCCTGCAAAATCCGGCGCTCTGGCTGACCTCCGTTTTGAGCAGGGACCGACCGTCCCGGTATTCCTACAGTCCTACCACGAAATGTTCTCAGAACCCAGAAATGTTGTAAGAACACAACCTATGTTCTTAAAGCATAAGCCCGATGTGTTAAGCCAAGACAGTCCCAGCCAGACGTATTATATTAATAATTCGTGCAAGCCACGAAAGGCTCTCTCGGGGCTATAGGCGAACCAGGACGCCTCGCCACTGCTTGACCGTTTGCCTTGACCCCCGTCTCTTGAGCCCCGAAGCCCGAGCACGGGCTGCCCGCCGGCCTGCCCCGAGTAGTGCTCTTTTGCCGACTGCTCCCCGCCTCGGGAGCCGAGCTCCGCGGCGCGCCACAGCGCCCCGAGCCTCCTCCGACGGGAGAGCCGACACCGCTGCTCCTCGGAGGCCCAGCGTGCCCCGCTCGCGAGGAGGAGGAGGAGGAGGGGGAAGAGGAGGAGGAGGAGGAGGAAGAGGAGGAGGAGGAGGAGGAGGAGGAAGAGGAGGAGGAGGAGGAGGAGGGGGAGGAGGAGGCGGAGGAGGGGGAGGAGGAGGCGGAGGAGGAGGAGGCGGAGGGGGGGGGACGTCGAGCACGGACCCGCGGCGCATCGCCCGTGGATCGGCGAGGGCCCCCCCCCCCCCCAGAGAGCGAGGCCGCGCGCTCCTCTGGGCGGGGGGGGAGGGCACCGGGCCCCCACTCGGCGATGGAGGTTGGAGGCCTGGGCATTTCCAGAACCGGGTCGGTCACGCCGGTGTCGGTGTTGATGTTGGTGTCGGTGCCCAACCTCGAGGCCTCCGAGGATGGGCCACTGGGGGCCGATGTGCGTCCAGCGGAGCCCCTACCGTTCCCCTCTGGCACTGGTGGGCGTCCGTGGCAGCTCGCCCGCCCGGCGCAGCTCGCTGGCAGAGGCGTCTGCTGTCCGTGGGAGAGCGACCCGAGTCTTGCTGCAAGAAGCCTCGCGCCCCACCCTGGGAGGAGCCATCGTGTTGGTTTTCTCTGAAGGCCTTCTCTGAAGGCTCGGGCGTTCCCCCGGCCTCCCGAGAAGTGTTCCGAGCCTGCCCCGGGGACAGGCGCAGCTTCCCAGAAGGCGCGAGGGCTTCTTTGAGAAGTCCCGCCGCCCTCTGCTGATAAGGCCTTCTCCTTCTCTCGGGTCGGGCGAAAAACCAAGCAGCTGAGCTTGCGATGTCGTCCCGGGGAGGGGGACGGGGAGCAGTGTGGATGCAGCCTCCTCCGACGGGAGAGCCGACACCGCTGCTCCGCGGAGACCCAGCGTGCCCCGCTCGCGAGGAGGAGGGGAAGGAGGAGAAGGAGGAGGAGGAGGACGAGGAGGAGGAGGACGAGGAAGAGGAGGAGGAGGAGGACGAGGAAGAGGAGGAGCAGGAGGAGGAGGAGGAGGAGGAGGAGGAGGAGGAGGAGGAGGAGGAGGAGTCTGGCAGAGGCGGAGGGGACGTGGAGCAGTGTGGATGCAGCCCGCTGCCGCCCCACCGAATCGGGGTCCAACGTTGGCGAGCTCCTCGCCCTGGCGGCGGCAGCCCGGCCGACCCCCGCTGCGGCTGCTGCCCCTCGTCCCTACTTCCCTCCCCCTCATCCTCCTTCGCCCCTCGTGTTCCTCCTTCCGTTCCTCCCTCCTCTCACTTCTCTCCTCCTCCTCCTCCTCCTCCTCCTCCTTTCGTTGTCTTCCCTCCTCCTCCTCCTCCTCCGCCTCCTCCCCATTGCGCTGAAGTTCTCTCGATCCGTGGACGCGTATCATAACGGACCTGGAACTCCCAAAAGGACCCCATTGTGTTGAGCGCCATCGAGAAAGGGGAGGTGCGTAAATTGGTGGAGGAGGTGGCAGATGAACAGAAGGATAAGCAAGAGGAAAAGGATGAGGATGAGGAAGGAGGAGGACAAGGACGAACGGCAGCAGCAGGAGCTGGAGTGGAAGGAGCGGGCAGAGCAGGATGACCAGGAGAAGGCGAGAAAGGGAAAGGAGGGGGCGACAACCATAAAGACGGACTCGGATCCCGAAAAGTGACTCGCGCTGGGGCGAGAGTGCGACTCTGAACGACGGAGGCCAATTGCCGATGTAACATGAGGTCCGCACTGTATCGGCACCACCTTTTTGAAGGACCGAACTCGACCGGATTGTAAACAACACAGGGGCATGGCGGGACATTTTCTGGACCAAGTCGGGACAAAAGGGATAGCAGCACGGAGGTACTCACATGAAGTAATGGTTAAACGCGCCTGGAGACGAGTTCAGCCGTAGCCACAATAGAGCTGGGCTGGGGAAACTGCTGTATCCCTGCGAATTGCGTAGTGCGCGGGACCCCCCTACCTCGCTCGGCGAGCCAGGAGGCGCGTCCCAGGAGGGCTGAAGGCATCATGTCTAGGAGGAGGAGGAGGAGGAGGAGGAAGAGGAGGAGGGAGGGAGGAGGAGGCGGAGGCGGAGGAGCATGAGGCGGAGGAGGAGGCGGAAACAGGAGCGCGCCTCGCTCAGCTCCCAGGTGCCCGTCGGCGACGCATCGTCGCCGTCGTCGGCCCAGGAGGTGAGCCGCCTGCCCTTCCCCTCCGCCCCCCTCTTCTCCCCGTCCTCCTCCTGCTGCTGCTGCTGCTGCTGCTGCTGCTGCTGCTGCTGCTGCTGCGGTGCCCGCGCTCCTGCTCCCCCACCCCTCCTCCTCCCCCCTGCCTCCTCCCCTACTCCTCCCCCGCCCAGCTCTCCTCCCCCATCCATGCCTTCATTCCTTCTGCCTCCCTTCCCCCTCCCCTCCCTCCCTCCCTCGTCCTCCCCCGTAGGGTGAGGATCCCTCTCCCTCGGCAGATGGCGCAGCGACCCGCGCGCCTCCCTCGGCGGTTGCTCTCCTCCTGCTCCTGCTCCTCCTCCTCTTCCTCCTCCTCTTCCTACCCTGTCTCCTTCCCTCCCTCTCTCTCCCTCCCTCCCCTTCTCCCACTGAGGTGTTCCTGATGCAGTTGTCACTGGTGAGGTTTCTCCCCCTTCCCCCCCCCTGCGGCCCTCCCTCCCAAGGGGTGGGCCCGGTTCCAGCGAGATCCACAGCGGGACCCCTCCTCCTCCTCCTCCTCCTCCTCCTCCTCCCTCCTCCTCCTCCTCCTCCTCCTCCTCCTCCTCCTCCTCCTCTCCTCCTCCTCCCCCTGCAGCCCCCCCTCCCCAGGGGTGGGCCGGTTCCAGCGAGATCCACAGCGGGAACCCCTCCTCCTCCTCCTCCTCCTGCTCCTCCTCATCCTCCCCTCCTCCTCCTCTCCTCCTCCTCCTCCTCCTCCTCCTCCCATTATCCCATCCTCCTCCTCACCCTCCTCCTCCTCCTCCTCCTCCTCTCCTCCCTCCTCCTCCTCCTCCTCCTCCTCCTCCTCTCCCTCGTCCCCCTTCTCCTCCTCCTCCTCCTCCTCTCCTCCTCCTCTCCTCCTTCCTCCTCCTCCCCGTTACCTCGTCTTCCTTCTCCTCCTCCTCCTCCTCCTCCTCCTCCTCCTCCTCCTCCTCCTCATTTTCCTCTTCCTCTTCCTCCTTCTCCTCCTACTCCTCCGCCTCCTCCTCCTCCTCCTCCCCATTCTCCTACTCACCATTATCTTCCTCCCCATGATCCGCCTCCTCATTATCATCCCTCCTTATCCTCTTTACTTCCCTCCTCCTACTCCTCCACCTCCTCCTCCTTCTCCTCCGCCTCCTCCTCCTCTTGCTCCTCCTCCTTCGCCTCCTGCTTCTCCTCCTTCCTTTTCCTCCCCCTCCTCTTCGTCGTCCTCCTTCCTCCTCCTCCTCCTCCTCCTCCTCCTCTTCCTCCAACTCCTCCTCGTCCGCATCATCATCATCATCATCATCATCATCATCATCATCATCATCATCATCATCATCATCATCATCATCATCATCATCATCATCATCATCATCATCATCATCATCATCATCATCATCATCATCATCATCATCATCATCATCACCATCACCATCATCATCATCACCACCACCCCCACCATCATCATCATCATCACCATCATCATCATCATCATCATCACCACCACCCCCACCACCATCATCATCATGATATCATCATCATCAGCATCATCACCATCACCACCATCATCATCATCATCATCAGCATCAGCATCAGCATCATCATCATAATCATAATCATCGTCATCATCATCAGCATCATCATCGTCATCAGCATCATCATCATACTCATCATCATCATCATATTCCTCAGCATCATCCTCATCCTCATCCTCATCCTCATCCTCATCCTCATCCTCATCCTCATCCTCATCATCATCATCATCATCATCATCATCATCATCGGCATCAGCATCAGCATCATCATCATAATCATCAGTAGCATCAGCATCGTCATCGTCATCGTCATCATCATCATCATCATCATCATCAGCAGCATCATCATCATCGTCATCGTCATCGTCATCATCATCCGCATCAGCATCAGTAGCATCAGCATCATCATCATCAACATCATCATCATCATCATGATCATCATCATCGTCATCATCACCATCAACATCAACAACACCATCATCAACACCAGCATCATCATCATCATCATCATCATCCGAAGCATCATTCACGGCGTCATCACCATCATCATCACCATCATCACCATCATCATCATTACCATCATCATTACCATCACCATCATCATCATCAGCATCATCATAATCATCATCAACATCATCATCAGCATCAGCACCATCACCACCAGCATCGTCATCATCATCAGCATAAGCAACATCATCATCATCCTCCTCAGCATCACCATCATCATCCTCATCATAATCCTCATCCTCATCCTCATCCTTCCCTCCTTGTTTCCCCTGCCCTCCCTCCTCCCACTGCTGCTCCCCGATATCCTCGATGCTCCTCCCCCCGCAGCCTCAGAGGTGAGGGCGATAGATCCACGGAGGCGCAGCTATTTGCTCCCAACCTTCGTCAGGAGGCGGAAAAGGTGGCTGTCGGTGCAAGGCTCATGCTTCCCTCCTCCTGCTCCCGCGGCTGCTCCTCCTCCCCCATCGCTTGCTCTGAAGCCGCGTTGAGGGCATGGCAAGGTCCGACTGCAATCCAAACGTTGCTGCAATAACGCAGATCAATCAACATCGATGCGGGAAACCAAATTGGTACGGAATGTACGTCGGATCGGACTACATCGGCACAAGGCCGAAATCGAATCGGATCCGCTTGCGTGGAAGCCCGCCTGCCGATTGAAATGCCCCGCCCGCCCGGCCCGCCCATTCGGATCTGCCCCCCTATCTTCCTCCTCTTCCCACCACTCCTGCTGAACCGCTCTCGTTCGCGATGCTCCTCCCTTCCTCTTGCCCCACCTCCCTTTTCGTTCGCTCCTCCCTTCCTCGCTCCCTACCTTTCTTTTCTCTCCCCCCCCGCATTTTCTGCGTCGGGGCCGTGCCAACAACCCGTGGCAGGCAAGGACGACGTACCCGCCGAGCGTCCTGTCGAAGTCCTGGCGCTGCTGGCTGTTGGGGCAGCTGCCCCAGATGCGGTGGAACTTTTCGGCCACAGCGCTAGAGCTGCACAGACCGCCTCCTCCGCGCCCATCTCCTGAAACCTCTTCCTGCCTTTCCGCAGGCCACGGGGAGCACCTGCTCGCTCACCTCGAATCGGCGGCCACAAGCCTTGGGGAAACTTGAAGGTCGCTGGGGGGGCAGCGTTGTTTCCAGGGCCAGATCCCCGTACGCTCGGCGGGCGCGCTTGATCGGTCAACAGCAATCCTTACCGCCGCCCTTCGCGAGAAGCTCTGATTTCAGGCTTGCTCTTGCCCACGATTGGGCTGCTCATGCTTGCCCTTGCCCTACAAAAGCATTGCCCTCTCCCCCGTTGCCCCAGAAACACAGATCGCGTTCGCTGCCCCTCAGCGAGCTTCAAGGGGAAACTGCCCCGACTGAAGAACCATATCGTCGGGGCTCTGGGGGCCCTTTTGGGCCGTCTTCGGGCTGTCTTGGCCCATCTTGGGGCCCTCTTGAGCCGTCTAGGGGCACTCTTGAGAGCCTCATGAGCAGTCTGTAGGCGTTTTTGGAGACCTCTCCCCCGCCTCGCGGCGGCCCCCGGTGTCTCTCCCTCGGGCGGCATGCTGGCCCTGGGCCGGCGGGATCGAGGGCTGCTTTTGGTCCGTCACGGGCGCGAGAGCGCCGCGTCGAAGCTTAGGTCGGGCGGGTCCCCCTACAGGCAGGCAGATTCGGGGCGAAAAATAAAAAGTACCCAGAAAATGCCCCCAAAGAATCAATACATAATTTTAAAAAAGTCCCCAGACTATTTTTGGGGCTACTTTTTGAACACTCCTCCTGTAACGGGACAGGCCCGACGTAAATCTGAGCCAAAGTGGCTATCACACAGCACGCAGAGAGGACGGAGGGACGACGGGAGAGGAAGAGGGGAGGATCGGGGGTACCCATCCTGGGGGCACCTAGGGGAACGTAGGACGCCCAGGCACTGCATCCCCACGCAGCAGTGCCCGCAGCGCGGCGCCGATCGAGCTGCCCTCGCGGGGCAGCGGGTTGGGGGGGGGGGGGGGCCCGCTCACAGAAGAAGAGAAGACGCCACGAAGATAACCTTCGGGCGCTCCGCGCGGAGCTCTTGGATCTGCGCTGGACCCCCGCGCCAGGGGCGCGTGCGCGCACGCGCACGCGCACGCGCACGCTTGCGCGCACGCGCACGCCATGGGCGGCGCCGGAAGCGCCGCCAAAGGGGGGCCCAGCGCGGACCCAAGACACCCGCGCGGAGCGCCAGAAGTCTACGTCTGTGGTTGTGGATGCCATGACAATGGACACTCTAACAATCCGATCATTCAAATAAAGATGTGGTTGAAATGTGTAAAACATGTTCTAGACATGTTCCAAACATGTGTTTAACATGTTTAAAACATAGTTGAAACATCTTTTAGACACCTGGCAATCATCTGGCAGCATGCTTCCTCTCCATTAATCGCCTTCCACAAATCTATGGCGCCTTCTCTTATCATCGAGCTCCGGGCGGGTACCACCGAGCCTGCCTCGGCGCAACATCGGCCGGCGAGAGGCCCCCGCCGGCGCACCCGAGCGGCCCTGGGCGCGGCGGGCCACCGGGCCCCGATCGTCGATGCGCTGGCGATGGGCGGTCGATGCCTCCTCGCCACGGCTGAACCTAAACGGTGTCTTTCGTTTTCGTTTTTTTTTTTCGTTCCCCCTCGCTTTTGTCTCCAATCCGCCTTTGCTGCAAAACGAAGAGGAGGAGGCGGAGGAGGAGGAGGAGGAGGAGGAGGAGGGGGAGGAGGGGGAGGAGGAGGAGGAGGAGGAGGAGGAGGAGGAGGAGGAGGAGGAGGAGGAGGAGGAGGAGGAGGAGGAGGAGGAGGAGGAGGAGAAGGGGGAGGAGGGGGAGGAGGAGGAGGAGGGTAGAAACGAAAACAGCCCACGAAATCACCAAAAACACAGTTTAGGCCCAGCCCTGCTCCTCGCCTTCGGGCCACGTCCCGGCTCGCCGGCTGCCGTGCGGGGCGACGCGAGCACCACCAGAACTCGCCATCGCTCGGACGGCCAGTCCCTGTGTTTT